CTCTCTCTCCCTCCCTAGGTTTTTCCTTTTCCTTACCCTTTTGCAAATAAATCCATTATTGACCCTTTTGTGTGTGCCTGCAGTACAACTAAATTTTAGGTGCGTGGGTGAGGACCCACAGAAGGGGCCCAGTTCACATTGGGGTGCTCTGTAACAATCTCAGCTGTGTTCTCAGGGATTATCCTGGTTTTTGTGTTGAAAACAGAGCACAGGGCAGCGAGTGCTGAAGAGGGAGGTGAGTATGACGTTACCTCAGTGACCTGAGTGTGGACTGGTGGCTGCAAGGAGCTCATGGTGCAGGTCAGGGGAAGTGGGAGAAGCTGGATATACTTTGAAGACAAAGCCATCAAGTGCTAGCGAGATAGGTGGGAGGGAGAGGGAAGTCAGGGATGATTCCTTAGCACCTTGACTGATGTTACTGGAAAGAACTAGGAGGAGGAAGACTAAGAGTGGAACACAGATGCGGGAGAAAACCATTTTAATATTCACATTGCCACAATGGAGAAGGTACTACTTTACTTTCCATAAAAAGGGGGACTCTGTGGGTTGAAGCCTGTTCTGTTAGCCACACCCAGAGCCGAGTGCCCCCACATTTGGACCTGATGTGTCCTGGGAGTGTGAAGTGTTGAGGTTTGGAGGGCTGGTCCTAGCTCTTAAGGGTGAACCTATAAATGAAGTCCAACCTCGAAAACACACCCTGTTTGCAGGACATTTAGGCTCATGCCTCAGCTTTGGCAGGTCTCTTCCACCTGGAACAGAGAAGAGGCAACCCATGCTAGTGAGGGCTTTCTGTTTAGGCATTCTGACCGGGAGGCAGAAAACCAGGAGTGCTGGAGGCCAACAAATGCCACCCTGTAACTGAGGGTCCAGGCAGTGTGAGTTGAGGGAAAGGAAGAGATGTTTCTGGCTCCTCTGCCTCTCCACCCACTTCCCTGACCACCCAAGGAAGGACAAAGGAAAGGGATGGAGCAGTGGACATCGGGAAGAAGGGAAGCTTCCTATTCATACATTGGTGCCAACTCAGAACTTGTGTGCATGAGGTGGGAGAAGGAAATCTCTGAGGCACAGGCACCTCCTGCCTGGGAGATGCTCAATTGCTCCTCACTACTGCATCCTCTGGGTGTAACCAAACACCACGGTGGCTCCATGCTGCAGAGGAAAACACTGCCAGCCTTTTCACTGGAACTTGCGGTCTCTAAGCCACGTGCAATGTGGGAACTCCAAGCATCAACGGAGAATGGTTGCAACGTGGGTGCAGCAGTGGGCAGCCGGCCTCTTCGTTCAGTCACTGCGCATCTCACTGGCCGCCCTTCCCGTTAGGTCCCCAGTGGCACCTGGAGCCTCTCACTTAGTCCTGACAACCCAGTGATGTGGTTCTTATCAAGGATGGAGACAGGCGGCTCAGAGAGATCACAGTCCCCAGCCAATGGGGGAGCTGAACTTGAACCCTAGTCAGTCTATTCTGGGACCTGTGTCTTATATTTTCGATACCACTATGGCCAGGAAACCATGGAGAAGGAAACACTCAAAATAGTATCAGTCCCCTCCCCCCATTTCTCATTCAGTGCTCAGTTGAGAAACCTATTCTCTGTTGCCTACAGTCTAACTTGATGTAAACAATGTTAAGTCTCATTGAATGATTTCTGGTCAAGATCACACAGCCATTTCCTTCAAGAAATAGTTTGATATAGGCTCACTAGAGAGATAGAAAAGGTGACCTTGAAATCCAGACAGAAGGTTAAAGTCCATTTCTGAAAGCTACAGCAGTAGTTTGGTGGCAGAATCAAAGCTCAAAAGCAACTTCCTGCCTCCAGGCCAGAGTTTGCCTAGGCCTCCAAAGTTGCCGTGCACAGCGCCGCTGCCTGAGCACAGATGACCACTTGAAGGGAGGACACTGCTTTTTTGTGCAGTAGAGATTTTACAGGCAATGTAAATTTAGCTCAACAGTTTTCATTTATTTTTCAAAAAGATTTATTTATGCATAGAAATACTGGGGTACACACCACCAAAGTGTGGGGGTGGGGAAAGGATTCACCAGAGACAGAGTGGGCAGTAGGACAGGCAGATGGACTGAAACACACTGCTAAGGGGAGCATGGGAGAGACCAAGGAGGTCTGCCAGGCCGTGTGGGTCAGATCCCCCGCCAGGAATCGAACTCTTGCTGCAGTGGCTGCCGAGAGCTTCATAGTGCTACACTTTAACTTGTTGTGCCACCAGGGAGGGCCCGAGCTAAACAAGGTTTTTCTAGCACCTTCTGATGAGTTAGTTATCTGCTTCCCTCTGCCACCTCCTTTCCCCCATCTAGCTCCGAGTCCTGTTCCCTGTTAAACAACTATTTCCTGATGTTTGTCTGGAGTGGAGATGTGCTCTCTGACAGGGCAGGTATTACTAGTTTAGAACCTGCTATAATTTACTCTGGCCTCCCACACTAATAACGACTCTCCTGGCTGGCTGGCTGGCTTCTGCAGACCTCTGCAATCAGGACCCATTCTACCCAGCTCATCTTTTCTTCCCTGTACAGCAGCACACACCCTTCATGTGTTGTGCACGCACCACTTTTTCACCACGCAAATATCCCCTGTGCTGGCCTGTTATGCAAATCCATTCTTCAAGACTTTGCTCAAGACCTTCCCAACTTCCCTATACGCTGCCTGGTGGTTTGCTTTTCAAGTTCCCTTTGCATTTATAACCTCAACTATATAATTTCGCTCTCAAAATGTTTCTGGATATTTCTTCAAATGTACTGAGCTCCTGAGGGCAGGCACATGTGTTCATTCACTCATCAGAAATTTCTAAAAATACCTATGAGGTGAGTTACAAAAAGAAGGAGAAGCGAAGGTTGGTTTTAGAGGGGGAGATTCTAGTAGCTTAAAGACACCTGTCTGACAAGTAGTGGAACCTCGACAAAATTTGCTGTACTGACATGTAGAATGCATCCCTTTTCAGTGTGCTGTCTCAGGAGAAGTTTCAGGTGGTTTTACAGGCAAGAGATCATGAAAGAGGTATTAGGACAATTGCTTTTAATTGCCTTAAAGTAAGGCAATTAAAAAAATATTAAAGCAGAATTGGGAGAAGGTTCCAGACACACATAAAAATGTCCCTTGAGTACACTGCTAGACACTAGTTCGGGGGACAAGATGGACTGTGGGGTCCCTCACTGCCCCAGCCTGCATAAGATGGGCTATTTGCCACATCCCCCCTGGGGGCTGCTTCCTACCTAATTTGGTGATTAAGAGGCACAGAAAGGGGGAGATCCTGGATGAGACTTTGGCTGCTGGTGACCTTGAGCCAATCAGCTGGGGTAGGTGCTCAGCCTTCCTATAACACCGGTAAAATTCCTACCTTACAGAGTTTCTGAGAGGCTGGAAGGACATAGGTAAGTTGCTAAGCACAGCACCTGGCATTATTTTATCTTCTACCAAAGTAGGGGTGACTGCCATGCTCGGCTTCCCTCTCAAGGGGGCTGTTGCTGTTTTCCCAGCACACAACGTGGAGTCTTTCCTAGTAGGGGGTGTGAACAGATTGTGTGACCCCCCTAAAGAGAAAAGGAGTTGAAAAAGCTTCAGAAAAACTAAAGTGTCCACAGTGGACTGGGTGGGCTAAGTGGGGTGCTCAACGAACCCTTGAAAAGACTTCACACAGAGCAGGTATCTTTGCAACCTCCTCCTGAGCATGTCTCCGGAGTCTGCTGGTGTAGACTGACACCCTCTTCGGTCACTGCCTTCAAGCCCAAGGAGAGAAAGGCCCAAGCCCGCGGCCAACCTAGGTGGGTGGCAAGAGGTGGGGAAGATGGGGTCTCCTCCCCCCTTCAAGTCCCAGCGTCCGAATCCGGGTCCCTGGGGCAGGGCTCCTCGCGAGCGCCCCCCCACCCTCCCACCGTTTCCTGGCTCCGCACCGGTCAAGAAGGGAGGGGCTCTCGCCCTTGGCCACAGCATCCGGGGTCATGCTCCCAGTCGCTTCCCTCCAGTCCTGCCTGGCCTCCCCACCTCGGCCGCCGATCCCGGGGTCCTGTGGTCCGGGCTCGGGCGCTCCTCTCGACCCCAGTCGAGCCTTGACCCCACCCAGCCTTGACCACTTCGGCTGCCGGCCCGGGTCTCCGGGTCTCCGTCGCCCACGCCTGGGGGGCCCCTCCCCCGCCGCCCCTGGGACCACGC